CGTCAAGAAGTCTAGAGCAGAGACAATGCCTTAAATTCTACCACAGCTTAGCTGATGAAAAAGAAAATATCCCCTTGGCCACATAAGTTTCTAGAAACAACTTAAGATCTACAAAGAGTAAATCAAGCAAACAAAACATCTCTGTAGAGTTTGACTATTCCTGGACCTTGGGAATATTGGGACATTATATAATCCCGGAGATTGGAACATTGCTTCAGAGAGACACTAAAAGAGAATGAAGTGTTTGAGTAGTCAAGTTCCCTTCGCTGTTGACTTCATTATCTCACCTGACAATTACAGATGCATTTTCCCTTTGTGTTATAGAAAGCACAAAAGGAAAAAAGTTTATCTTTTCTTTTCAAAGAGTTTCTTGTCTGAAGATATGAGAAAGGTTTGCATCATTATTTATCCCGTCCATTATTTTATGCCCCCAGTCTCTATACTAGGCATAGTCCGTGTGTGTGTGTGTATGTGTGTGTGTGTGTGTGTGTGTGTGTTTACTCCCAAAGGCAGAGTGACATATTAGTTTCTAAAAAGTTCTCCTTCTCTTTCTCCTCCCTCTTCCTCCCTTCTCCTCCTCCTCTTCATTTTGTTTTATTTTGTTTGTTTGGGGTTTTTTGGTTTGTTTGTTTTTGGTGTTTTGTTTTGTTTTGAGACAGAGTCTCTCTTCATAGATATGACTGTCCTGGAACTCATTATATAGTCCAAGCTGGCCTCATACTTACAGAGATCCATCTGCCTCTGCCTTCTGAGTGCTGGGATTAAAGCTTTGGGACAGGGTTGCCGTTGGCCATGCCAGAGGAGAAGTGAGTTTCAATTGAAGCTCCAGGTGTCAGCCCACCAGAAGGGACTCCTCTGATGGGACAGTCTCGTTTAGGCAAGGCCATGGGACTTCAGACCCGGGAATGTCTTTTGCTTCTGTGTGCCTTTACATGTTTGCTGTGGTTCTCTTTCTCTAGTGTCTAGCATGTGTGAGTGGACATGGGGAGATCTCCACTGCCTAATATAGTGTGTTTATCTCTTGGAAACATTTCATTCTACAGGGCATTTTTACCTATGGATTATCAAGATGATCTCTCCCTAAGATGTGCTGTCTAATTTGATAATAATAATGATAGCCTTCACATGAATAAAAATAAATACAAGGATATGTTTCACAGCCAGGGTTTGTGAGTCTCACCTAATGAGCTGCATGGATTTGTAACTCAAGTTAATGACTAACATTTGAGTCCCAGTAGCCCAACTAGTTTAAATTCTTTTAACCTTAATTCTATGAGATGTGTTCATGGGTCTCAGAGTGCATCATAGCTGAAACAAAGCTTTGAAAATAACAAAGTTAGACTAAGATGCTGCGGTTAAATAACTATGAAGCAAAATTCCCAAGAAGTCAATCTAAAAATTTAGAAAGGCACAGAGTTAAATGTGGGCCTCTTTAAGGTCGGGGAACAAGAACAAAGCAGCCCAATTACTACTGGCTGACATACTGCCCTTGCTAGGTTTGGTTGATGACCAAAGGTGATGTGATTAATTCCTTATACCCATTTCTGCCCTGAAACTCCTGATATAAAACTATTAATGAATGTATATGTGCCGTAAAGATTTAAAGCAGAGCTGACTGATTCTTTTTCATATATAAACATTTAGGTTTGTGATTCCTTATAAGATTACTTTTCAAGATAAGTAATAAAGTCATTGGCCCTTTTTTTGTAACTGCAAAATGCAGCCTGCCAGTAAAAGATCTGAGAACAACACCTTGCTTGCCACGTGGTTAATCTATAACAAGTTGCTTGGGTATGAATGTATGTGGGTTCTTAGAATACTTTGTTTTTGACCTGTAATACATAAAATGTTTAATAATGTGAGGGAGACGGAAAAACATGATTTCCCTACAATCGTTCACTTGAAAAATGGAATGCAACTGCTTTGGCTCTGGTACTGCCTGGAAGATTCTGCTGAGGTATAAAAGCTGTAAAACAACATGAAATAGAGAGAGAATAAAAATAATAAAGAAGGAACACATCAAGAGAGTTTGTGAGTACCTTTTCCCTAACCACCCCTCAGATAGTGGATTCCGATCAAAGCTCTGTGCTGCTGGAGGCTGGCCTCCCAGACAGAGGTGCAGGGTTTCTCTTCATAGATCTGACTGTCCTGGAACTTACTATGTAGTCCAGGCTGGCCTCATACTTACAGAGATTCACTTGCCTCGGCCTCCTGTGCACTGGGGTTAAAGGGGTACGTGACTGCTGTACCAGGCGCATTAAAAATTCTTGATATCATATTGTTACAAAACAACCTACATTCGTCATCTTAATGTATCACCTCATTTAGGACTTGATACTTTACTTGACTTACGATGCTACCATGTTAAAAATAATTAGATAACCACACACACACACACACACACACACACACACACACACACGTTAGTTCTTTAGCTTCAAATTAAGGTTAAAGAGTATCCAATAATAAAATACTATATTAAATATCACCTTTCATATTTAGAAAATGTTCCTTAAGATTATTCTTGGTAATTAAATTATAAACATGAAAATTTTATGAACATTAAAGAGCACTAAAAAAGAAGATATCCGAAGTTCATCACTTTCATAGAATGTTTAGTTCATTATATGTTACATTTCTTGCACCCCCAAATTAATAAAAACTAAAACCCATGTTAAATATAGCATTCCTCACAAATATCTTTTAGATCCCATTCCTTTAAAATTTGGAGATATAACTGATTTAATTCTTAATTGATCTCATGTCATAATCCATCATTTTATTAATATAGTTAATCAACAAATGAAACTAGAAGTAAAATAACAGATTTCAGAGGGTTTTAAAAACATACCTTGTAGGGATCCTAAATTCTCCGGATGAAGAAAAGTCCCTCATATATACTGCAGTACAAACACTATCATCACATTTTAATGGAATGGAAATCAAAATAGTACATTTATGACAAGTGTCTGCATACTTAAGATCATGTTTCATTGCTCCAGCTTTTATTATGTTCTACGTAATCTGTTTCGGGAAAAGGGAAAAGGCTACAATGAAGTGTATGCTAACTTTGAAAGTGATGGTTTCCCTCAAAAGATAGCTTTCTTTCTTTCTTTTTATTTAAAAATATGGTTTTAGAATATAAAACCTCACCAAAATAAAGCTTTTAACTATGTGTTGTTTGGAGAAGTACCACAAACTACTCTCAGACCTTACCGAGATCTGAAAAATAATCTAATTTGAATCACGAGTCTAAATAGGTCATTTAACTTAGAAGAATTAAAATTAGCAGTGTAGGGTCAAGTCTTTTCATAAAACACGTGTGTCCTGTTTGCACTGTTCTTTTTGAAGTCAAAGCAGAGGAAAGTATCACGAACAGGTAGAATATGTGAGTCTATTAAAAATCTCAGTTATTCTGCTTCTGAAACACCCATAAAATTAACAAAGTAAAAAGACACAGAGCAAGAAATTTCTTCATGTTGGGGGAGGTAGAGGGGCAAAAGGTAAATACGCTCATTTACATACAGGAAGAGGACAGCATGCTCATTACTTGCTTTCCACACACATACTTCCACACTAAGAGCAAAATTAGCAAGACAAAGCTAAAACTAACACTCTAATATGTGTTAGGCTCACGTACACTGCTTCACTTCTTCTATGAAAGTAACAAGATTATGAACCTTTCCAGAAACAGACACAGTGCCTGTGATCCCAGTTCTTAGTAACACCGAGGCCAGCTTCTGCTCTAGTCTCACCCGATAACAGCAACCTTAACACGGCCCAGCACCTTTAACTATTTCCTTCTACACTTTGTGATAAACTCAGTGGTTAAATCCCCCCCTCTCTCGGGAGACTTCAACTGTAGAAGAAACAGTATCTTAACACTCAGTGACTTAAACAATAATAACACATAAATGAGGACGTTCAACTGCCAGAGACCTTCAAGGTCCCTCCAGTCCAAAGGACTTCAGCAATGTGTCAGGAACTCAAGGACCCTGATTTCAGAAGAGGAGGCAGGTACAGTGAGGGGCAGCAAGGGAGGTGTCAGAAGACCAGGTTGTGTTCAGCACCCTTCGAAGCCACCAGAAAATGCACTCATCATTATTTCTTGATCGAAAGTAACTTTGATGCTGGGGGGACGGGGGCTTCCTATTGCTCAGCTGGCAACAATCTACAGTGTACGGATGGGAGTGTTGCCATGCTGAAGAACCGCCTTTCCCTGTATCCACTTTCCCAACAGGGCTTCCCCCAAATGAGCTCTTGAGAAATCCCGATTCCCTCAAGACCTCCCAATCTGTTCAGAGATAAGATGGAAGGACCTTGGCTGACAAGGAGACTCTGGGGGTGTGGCTTTGAAGAACTGCTAAGGAACACTCTAAGCTACATTTTTATTTTAAAGAAAACCCGGGGCGGGGGGGGGGGGGAGCGGACTAAGCAAAATTAGAATTTACTCATCACCAGATGGATGATAAAATATTTATGGTCGCCCAAGACAAATTTACACGCCCCCCTCACACACACATCCTGAAGCAAAGACAGAAATAATCCCAGGAAGGACCAAACAGACTGGCTTGATCCTTCGACTACAGCATCTCTAAATCCGCTTTTCACCCGCTTGTGCCAGTCTTTTCTAGTCACACACACACACACACACACACACACACACACACACACACACACACACACCGTGTCTCTAAGCGGCGACTTCTCCGCCCCCAAATCCCATCTTTAGTTCTGAGCGGACTCCTGCCCAACAAGGGCTCAGCCTCCAGGGCGTCCCTCTGGGTGGCGTCCCTAGCACTCCGGAGGTTCGGAAAAGCCTGGGGACCTGGCACCAGTGCCAAGGCTGAGGAACCCGGGGGTTCCTCCTTCCGCACCCCTCAGCCGGAGAGAGGATTAAGTTGTCCGGACTCTCAGGGAGCGGTCCCTCCCACTCCAGCCCCTCCCGAGCTAGGACACCCAGGGGTCCCCCGCCTCCGCGGAGGTGAGCGCGCACTCACCGGAGGTGAGCTGCATCCAAGCACAGATCTTGTACACGGTGGCTGTGTTGCAGAAGAAGAAGAGGGTAAAGCAAACGATGCAGGCGATGATGAGCATCATGGAGAGGCCGATGAAGAACGAGGCGGCTTTGAAGGCGCCCGAGGGCAGCGTGGAGAAGTCCGTGAAGCTGCCCCTGCAGGTCAGCTCCCGGGAGAAGCCGTTGCCGATGCAGTAGTGAAAGAGCCCGAAATAGCCGGCTTGCGGGGTGTCCACGCCGTCGCCGATCCAGTAGGGCTGGATGAAGCACACCACGTTGACGATAGCAAAGCAGATGGTGAAGATGGCCCACAGCACGCCGATGGCCCGCGAGTTCCGCACATAGTTGGTGTGGTACAGCTTGGCAGCCTCCTGAGCCGGGAGCATCGCGGCGGCGGCGGCGGCAGCTCCAGGCATTCTCCCCCTCCTCCTCCGCCTCCTGGTCCTCCGCCTCCCCCCGCCTCTGGGCGCGCAGGAGACACACTCGCGTTGCAACTCCCCTGCCTCCTCCTCAGCCCAGCAGCACCAGTTCTAGAGTCTGCATCCTCGCTCCCGGAAGGAGGGCGGGGGAGCGCGGAGCACCCCTCCGACTCGCCTGGCACAGCCTCAACCCCCCCCCCCCCACACACACACACATACACTCCCCGCCGCCTTCTCTCCCTCCCTCCTGGCCCCGACTCCAGCCCTGCTCAGTACCCTCCACCCCTCTGCCCGCTGCTGCAGCTGCTGCAGCTGAAGCCAGGAAGCCCTCACGCCCCCCATTCCCTTTCCCGCCTCTGATTCCCAATCCAGCGGGCGCTGCTGGTGCCCCGGGGCGCAAAGGTGGCTACCCTGAGATGCTCCTTAAGTGTCAGTCAGGAGCCAGGGTAGCGGCTATGGAGTGGTGAGAATCAAGGGGGCGAGCGCGCCCACAGGAATCCTAGAGGCACTCCCTGGATCCTGGAGGATATGCTGCCGGCCAGGAGGCTGGTCCTGGGAGCTTTTCATCACCACACAGGAAAGAGCTTTGACCTCTGCATCTTGTCAGAGAAGAAAGAGGCAGCATGGCAGGTGCAGGAGAGAAAGGGAGGTGGACGTGGCGCCCTAGAGAGGCTTCCCTGTCAAAACCACAGAATTGCCTCTGGCTAACTGTTAGGGTACCTGGGATCCACAGATGAAGGTGGGAGAAGTTGGGTAGAAACCTGTCGCGCAATAATGTAGGAGTCAAGCCTGGAGGCTGACCTTCTGTTTCTAAGAAGCTTCCCATTTTCCTACTGTGCAACCAAACGAACTATGGCCAACTGATAGCCCCACGCTTCACCTTAAGTCAAACTATTTCTCGTCCACAGAGCTTGCAATAGATGGGGCCTGCGTGCACAGAAGTCATTGTTACAGCATTTTAGAGTTTGTTTGGAAACATCGGAGAGTTTGGCAGGTGTTCCGTTTATTGCACAAATATTCATTGGCAGCCAGTGTGTGCTAAAGATACAGAGGACGGCAATGGGTGTCTTAGCGGTGGAAATATTCCCACCTCCCCCACAACCCAAGGTTCCAGTTAAGGAGTTCGTTGTTTTAGGTTAACTTCCCTGAATCGTCTGCAAGTAATGTCTGGCGTAGCTGGTGTGAACCTTGCACCGTTTCCTTGTTTTATTTGCTTTCTCCAGCATCGCCACTGCAATTTTTAACAGTCCTATCGATCAAAACGAGGGTCTCTGTTGCCATTGCTTGAGTTTTGGTTCCTTTTGTGAACCCAGAATGCTCAGTAACAGAAATGTGTTTTGGTAGAAATCCTTTTAAGCCCTATGCTTGCTTAACTCTTTGCGCAAATGGAAGAATGCCCCCTGCCCCCTCCTTAGACGTTCATCCTGAAGTCTGGACTGCGTAAACGGCCTTCAATGAAGACGGGCCCAAAGCCTAAGTAATAGAGACTACTTATGCTCTTCCTCTGATACCCTGAAGGCTTGCACTTGTGTGGAGGCAGGAAAAGGAGAGGGCTTAGGGTAAAGGCCTCACAAGATTATGAAGAGGCTTCTCCTGCGGCTGTGAACAATCTGGAAGCGTGAGTGAGGTCTCCTATAGGTATGGAGTTGAGACAATACAGTTCAAGATCGATCAGGACTTTGAAACGAGGGCATCATGGAACAGATATCAGGGGACTGTTGACTGAGGTGACCCAGAATCACTACCAGGTGTGGCTGTAAATACTCAGAAAGCCTTGAAAACACCAAAGCGATTTAGGAGAGAAGATGGTAATCTCAAAGTAGACCAGCCCAAAGTAACACTCTATGTCTTCATAGATCTAAGACAAGGGGACACATCTGCAGTGTATTGGTGGCAGTGGAAGGTCAGAACCTCCATTAGGTTTCATTCTGAAATTGCTTATGCCTGTTGGTAAATCGGCATTTTAATTTAGGAGGAAGATAAGGAAAGACGAAGGTAATGAGATCCATAGGGCCAGTTGGCAAGCACTGTGTCCCACGGTGAGAGAGTTTCAAGGCAAGAATTGACAGTATTTTTTAGTAACTCTTCCAAGTCCTCAAATCCCTAAACTTGCTTATATAAAGTGCTCTTTCTTTTAAATCAATGCCTTAAGAAAAACTTACTGTTCCTGGGCTGGGGGTTGAGTTTGGAGGTTGCTGAGGAGGGAAAGCTGAGAATCAAAGAGCCTGGTTTTATCTTGGGGCTTAAATTGCCTTCATGGGACAAAGAAACGACTGGCAAGTGACTCAGACTCAAAGGTTGTGAGTCAAAGAGCTTTTCTATTTGAGTCATGCCAAAGGAAAGCCTTATTCTTAGTCCAGGTTTGGAATTGCCTCTGGGTTCGTGCTCAGAATCCTTATACCAGAAGGCGCATTCAGAGGTGTCTGCTCTTGTCAATAACCACTGAGAAGAAGAACCCAAAGTCAGCAAGCTGTTAAAGTGTGCCTGTGCTCCCCCAAGAATTCATTGTTTCCTCCTTCAGGTTAAAATCAGGAAGACATGAACTGGACCAGGTCAACTACCTTCTGTTTCCACAGTGTCTTGTACTACAGCAGATTTTCAGGCTGAAGTAGGGTGCTCCAAGGCTGTAGGAACTAGGGATGAGCTATTATTGTAGACTATGCCTTCAGAAAGGAGGTTCTCCAGCATGCCTCTGACTCCCTTGCTACTAGCACTCCAATCTTGTCCTTTGCCGCCAGGAATTCCAAAGGTAAGACTGATCCCATCCTTTATGCAAAATTTTTGACTTGCATTGTATAGGTCAGTGGCTCTCAACCTGCGACCCTTCAGTAGAGTTCCTCCTGTTATGGTGACCTCAACCATAAGATTATTTTGTTGCTACTCCATAACCTTGATTTTGCTACTGTTATGGATCATAATATAAATATCATAATATTTATATTATATATAAATATCATGTAGTCTATCTGATATCATTTGACCCCCAAAGGGTTACCACCCATAGGTTTAGAACCAGTGATATAGATAGACTTCAAAAGTTTGAACAGCTAAACATATGTGAAACTCTTCAATCATTCTGTGGGACCAAGATAGCTGTTTGGGGAGGAGGAAATAAAAAAAAAGCCTGATTCATGCTACAAAGTTGCTATTGATAGAAAGGTATTTTGAAATTATAACATGATTCATAAGTGCAAAGTAACTAGTAGAAGTCTGTCGTTGACAGAATAGAATTAGAAACACTGAATGCTCAAATCTCAAATCTCACTACCGAAAATCCTTCTCTCTTACTGCCATATAGGGTCAGTAGTGAAACTCCTGCTTCACACTCTGTTCAGTGCGTACTACTTGGGACTATAAAAGACAAAGAAACGGAACAATCGTTGGGTTGTGTGATGCTCCTAACGTCCTAAGTGAGATGAAGAACTAATGCTTGCATTGAACTTGTCTGATGTAGCACAGGATAGTGCAACCTTGGGACCTAGACTTAGCTATCTTTTCCTTGCCACTAGAAGCCCAGGCTCTTGAGGGCTCCATTTCTCTTCTCTGGAATTTGGTGAGGAAGAAAGGAGAGAAGATGAGTCTACGATGTAAAATTCTATTTTACAAAATCTAAGATGACTTATTTAAAAATTCTAAAAGAGAGAAACAATCTAGCATTTGACAAAATAGGAAAAAAATCTAAAAAAGGATTACCAGATTATGACAAAGTAGACATTTTATTCAAAATTGAAAGTCTTTTCTGAAATTGTATAGATGTGATTTTGCAAGCCCCAAATGTTTAGGATTTCCAGATGAGTCATTGCTTGTGAGCAAGGTAGTAGAGAAAAAGAGGATTTCTAAATTCTGTTGTTTAACTGATTTTTAGAGTTATGTCCGAGGTCATTATTAGATCACACTTCGGAATATGAAGATTCTAACGGTTAAGCTCTTCTCATGCCTGAAGGACCTCCCCTCTCTCCTCAGCCATTCAGGTTTTTGTAGGATTTTAGAAATCAAGAACTACTACTTAGTTAATCAATCCCTGGGCTAGCAGAGGCAATCAGATGGCCCAAGTGTTTCAGCACTTCCGAAAAAATCAAGATAAAATTGAGAGCCAGATGTACTGACTGGCTTCATGGCAACTTGACACAAGCTGGAGTCATCGGAGAGGAAAGAGCCTCAGCTGAGGAAATGCCTCTGTGAGATTCAGCTGTAAGAAGTTTTCTCAAGTAGTGGTCAGTAGAGGAGGGCCCAGTCCATGGTGGCTGGTGCCATCCCTGGGTTGCTGGTCCTGGGTTCTATAAGAAAGCAGGCTGATCAAGCCATGGGACGCAAGCCAGTAAGCAGCCCCCCTCCATGGCCTCTGCGTCAGCTCCTGCCTCCAGGTTCTTGCCCTGTTTGAGTTCCTGTCCTGATTTCCTCCTTGAGGAACAGCAATGTGGAAGTGTGAGCTAACCGTTTCCTCCCCAACTTCTTTTTTCTTGTCATAGTGTTCCGTTGCAGCAATAGAAACCCTAACTAAGATACCAGGTAAGATGAGTCTGCAGATAAGGTGACTTTATTGATATGGGATTCCCCTCTGTATACGGGTGATGTGGGATTTCCCTCTTGTGATTATTTTATTTTAGGTAGTCATTATATCCTACCTGAATGAGGAGAAAGTGCCCCTTAGTGGGGTTTTCAACAACAACAACAACAAAAGGCCAATACTAAGCCATGCTGTATGATTAGGCCTGTTAAGAATAAATGTATTTTTCTTTTTATTGAAATTAGCTCCCACCTGCAGCAGGTGGGGAGCTGCCCCTGCCCCCAACCAGTTGCAATACTCCAGAGCAAGACCTGAACACCTAGGCAGCACAATAAAGTCAACCCTGTGGGTGCAGACACAGTGAGGCAGCCCCAAAGTTGTGAGCAACAGAAAGCTGTGCCCATCATCTATTCATCTGTCATGCAACAGTGTGGGCAATATGTGTGTGGGGGGTACCCCCTTACCCTTACTACTCACCCCCTGCCAAGAGGAAGGAGCTGACCCTCCTCCCC